ATTGCGGCACGACGCATGCGCAGCTTTCTCCGGCTGACCAAGACTCTGGACGTGGCCTTCTCAACCTTCCGGGTCGTGCCTACCGAACTTGTTGTAAGATTTTGATGGTCGCGTGGGCCGCGGTTTTCTTGGTTCGTTTCTTTTGGCGGCGCCTTAGCAGGCGGCGTCGGCAGCTGTCATGAAATAATAAAACAAAAAGTTGGGTCGTCTGCACGGCAGCGGTACTTGGACGTTTGTTCCGGTCCGTGAGCGACGATCATGTCCGTGTGAGGGTTTGGGAGGGTTTGGGTCCGTGTGAGGGTTTGGGGGTACTACTGTGGGGTATTGTTGTCATGTCGTCGTGGCTGTTCAGGCGTGGGATTCTGAGCAGATTGATTGATTTTGATTTTTCCGCCCAAGGGCAGGACGCCAGGCAGTCAACGCGACGCCGTCGCTGTGTGTGTCGCCGAGGACAATAATTCCTGTCCCGGGGCATGCTTTCAGGAACAAACAAGGCAACGGCATCACCGCGTGTCTCTTCTGTAGTGTGTGGCATCATTCAACTGCAGCCGTGTTAGTTTTCGGAGAACACTCGCGCTCTCTTGGAGTCAAACACAGGTAACGGCCCCCCAAGGCCGTGTTGCCCCCCAACGACTGCAAACCGTTCATTTCTTGCTGTCGCCGCCGTTCGTTGCAGGTCTACAAGGACGGGACGGTAACCTACCGGCGCACGTTCAGGGCTGTGCACGACGGCTACCTCACCGTTGGCGACAAGGTATTGTAGGTGTTTTTCTGTGCCCGCCTCGTGATACATGGCTCGTTGAATTCACCAAGGTTCAAAGCTGCGCATTTTCAAGTCTGTGTATGGCGAGTACCTCACGGTTGGTGAAAAGGCAAGCTTTTTTTTTTCTCGTCTCGTTATAAAGCTCGTCCAGTTTACCAAGGGTCAACGTGTGAGGCTTGGTGGCTTGTTTTGCCGGGGGGGGGGGTACTCATAGTCGTGCATGCGGTAGTCGTTAGACCATTGACCTCGCATCCCTACCGAGCCGGGACGGAGCACGCCGGGTTCTCACCGGACCAGGCTCTCACATCACCAAGCGCGAAGCGCCGTGAGATATTCGGCGAGTCGCATGAAGAGTGAGCTGCATCCTGCTAAGGGTGTTCGCAATCTTGGCTTACTTCCTTGCGTACGGATGACAGCTGCGTATGACTTCATTTATTTTCTGGTGCTT